CCATAATCTGTCCACACTTTAACTTTTGTCCATAATCTGTCCACACTCTGTTTAACTTTTGTTCTGAGGTCAGTTGAAGTTTTTTTCCTCCTCTCAGGGTGTGAGTCAGAACGCTCACAAAAAGCTCAGATTCTTGCCCGGCATCGTCTACATTGATGGTAAAGTAAATTAGCTTTAACTCGAGGTTTAACCATTTTTTTGTATGACTGGAGGAATTCTGTCAAAAACATCTTACTTTAATTCTCTGTGTTCCCAGAGGGCGGCGCTGTGGGTCTGTCAATACAGAAGAGAGAAAGTTTGATGTCTGAGCTGCGGGACATTTTCAGATCTACAGGTTTTCCTTTTTACATCGTTCCTCTTGAACAGGTCAGCATTAATTCAAGGAAACTGCTCAAATGCAGCAGTTTATTAAACCAACACAAACGGAGTAAATTCAAGTTGAAATGGTAGCACTTAGCATGTTAGGATACATAGACTGGGAGAAGGGCTCGCTGCCATTCAAGTGTTTTCATATCAGAACATAATAAAACTGATCTGTTTTTTAAAGGAAACAGGCTCTAAAAGTCTTGCTTAAAGAACATGGCAGTATGACTTGGGTTTGTAGAGTTGGATCTAATATAACTACACAACTTTTGAAACAATGTCCTTTGAACAGACGACAGCAAACAACAAAAAAGGTTGAATCATTTCATCTGGACCAGTTTCTTTAAGGGAGAAACGTTTCGTCTTCCATCCAGAGAACTTCATCAGTCTTCAGTCTGCCAACCAGATCTGTCCCAAAAGCAGTCTTCACTGCTGTTTCAAGACAACCTCCTGTTGGAATCTCAGAAGCTTTTAAGACATGCAAAAGGACCCATCCACCCAAAACAATCATCTTGTAGAACAATCAAAAGTTTGATGACTACCTTTTTCTGAACCATTTGGACCTTGGTGTCCTCAGGCAGTTTCTGTGAGTAGCAAGTTGTCATCTGACCTCAAACTTTTGATTGTGCTACAAGATGATTGTTTTGGGTGGATGGGTCCTTTTCATGTGTTAAAAGCTGAGATTCCAACAGCAGGTTGTCTTGAGACAGCAGTGAAGACTGCTTATGGGACAGATCTGGTTGGCAGGCCACAGACTGATGAAGTCTTCTGGATGGAAGACGAAACGTTTCTCCCTTAAAGAACCTGGGCCAGATGATTTAACCTTTTTTGTTGTTATCTACCTGTATGATTGAGCTTACAAAGCATTTTAGATGACAGCAAAGTAGAGTCATTTTCCTAAAATGTATAGCACCAGTTTTAGTGAGACCCACACGGCACATCAACACACACCTCATACCACCTGTAGGCACGGTGATAGTGGGGGCATGATCTAGGCTCGTTTACAGCACAGGTTCTGTGCACCTCAGTCGTTGAGCCAACCACGAACTCCTCTGCAGAGTATTCAGGAGGAAAATGTGCAGCCATTTGTTTGACAGCTGAATCTTTTACCAAACTGGCTCGACACAGCAGCACATCAAAATGTCTGAAGAAGAAGAAGATCCTGTCAGAGTCCAGACCTCAGCTTGACTGAAATGCTGTAGCGAACCCTTAAAAGAGCTGTGCAGAAATAAACGTCTGTAAACATCAATGAACTGAAGCAGCGCTGTAAAGAAAAGTGGTGCAGAATATTCTCCCAGCCATGTGAAAGACTGATGAAGTCGGGGAAGCACCACTGAGGAGTGCTGCTGGATGATGGCGCGTTGCATTTAGTCTTTGTGCCTTCATTTCTGTTAGTTAAATTACAACACGGTGAAATCTGTTTTGTGCTTTTGTACACTTGAGGTTAGATTATTTTTTATTTTAGAACTTGTTAAAAGACGTAATATTTATTGTCCTGATATAAAACCCTGAAACAAAAACAGGATGGACTTTTTTCTGACTACTATTGATGTCTTGTTTCTCGACGAATGCCTCTTAACTTGTTAGTTTGACATAAAAGTCACTACAAAAATCTCACACATTCATTGTGTAACATTTAGGAACAACTGTAAAGTAAACGTTGCACTGAACATCTACAGTAAAGAGATCTTTTTTAAATGACTCTAATAAGTGGTTGTGTCCTAAACTTTGTGTAAGGTTCTGGACCTTCCTTCTTCAGTTGTGGCGACAGTGCCGTCACCTGCAGAACCATCTACCAGCTCCTACAAAGCAGCTGTGGATCACTTCCTTCAAAGTGGCGGCAAAAATGATTTGATGAGTGAGGAGCAAGAAGAAATATCTCTGCCTGATGTTCCAGAGTCTCGGACTCGCTCTCTGCAGGAGCTGATGGGTTCTGCAAAGTCTCTGACGGCCAGAGAAGACCTGCTGAGCACTTTAAGGTCAGAAAGTCTTTATATCACTGTAGTATGAACATATGCTGTCATATATTCATAGATAAAACGGATTCTTTCATTTTTCTGGACTGTATAATAACGTGCATCTGAATTTAATAAAATGTGGACGTGAGACGTTAATTATCTTTGACTCACCAACGACAGTGGGTCATTTATTAACAGAATCAAGTTTAACACATCACACATTTACATTAATTGGCAAGAATTGAAAATAACGACAGCTTATTAATCAGTTTTACAGGAAGTAAACAATACGGCGATTGTTTTCTCACTTCCAGCAGTACAACAGACATTAAGTCATGGTCATTCACTGCGGTGGTTGAAAAACTTTGCTTCAGACATTTCTAAAAATATCTGGATTAATTTCTTAGCAGATAGAAGAGTTTAAAGATTGAAGTTTAGAGGGAGGGAGATGGTGTGTGTGTGAGTGAAAAGTGTTGGACAGAACGACACCCTCCATTCGACCCAGCTTTCCTCGGTACGCTCGGTAGTCAACTCGACTCATTACCTCTCTGACGATGAATCAGTGAAAGCGGAGCTCCAGTTACGCTACCGGTCCAGCGTCTCCGTAGGATGGCAGAAACCGTCCCGAGTGGTGGCGGGACTTCGTCAACAACAGTTCACCTCACGAGTGGACTTCACATGAGTGGGGTCCGTCAGAAGTTCCACTCAGAGGTGGAAGATGTCATAATCCCAAAAGACTCGGAAGAGCTTTTAATCATAGCTGGACTTCTGTTCTCCCAAACGACTGGAGCTGCAAAAACTCTCCACCCGACTCCAACTGGAGGTGGAACCTCTTGCAGAACTCCCCATCTACTCCAACTTCAACTGGGTTGAACTAGGAAGTTCCAACATTTAAAGAGCTCTATTTCCGGTTCATTTGGGAGTTTCTGATTGGTCGATGGACCAAAACAGAGGTGTGTTTTGTGATGTAAGGTGTTGTGAAAAGTCAAGGAAAAAGATTAAGATTGTTTAAGAACAGACAAAAGATATTATGAAGAACTTCAGACTTCGTGGAGTCAATTCTCTAGTATCTTGCTGTAAAAGTTAAACATGACATTTCTTTTTCAGTAAACTTGCAGTTGACCGAAACTTGAACTTTGACCAACTTACACACTTGCTCACTTCAAACAGACGATCAAGAAATTGAATCATTACTCTGTAACATATTCCAACTTGATTTCACTTTGAATGAGGATTAAGAATCATTATTACTGTTTCACAGTTAATAAAAATGAGTAGTTCACTTCAACATTTAAACATTGTTTGAACTAACACAATTTGATTATCAAAACATTTGTAAAATGGTAATGATAATAGAAAGTAGTCTTCTTTTACTTGATTAATTCAAGAAAGAAAGTCTCAAGATGGGTCAACATGTATTTCTGGATTCAAATCAATGAAATGACAGTTTCTGTCCCATATGGTCCTCAGGTCAAGGTTTTGACATCAGGCCTAGTTCACTACA